AAGCAGGCCGGAGGTGCCTTCATGTTGGAGTCGTTCTACCATATTTTTGTTGCTAAAAACGCCCAGAAAAACTCTCTTAGCTTCAGATTAGCATGTAGCTAATGTCCCGCTGATCTCCACCTGTAGAGAATGAGCTGATCTGAAAGGCCAGGGCACCCGGTCTCAGCAGTCTGGCTTTGCTTGTAACAGTCCCAGTCCACATTAGATCTCCACAGGCGACTAGCATGACTACAGCTTTGCACCGAAGCCGGTCGGCCGTGTGGGTGGACTACCCCACGGTCTGCAGTGCCCTTCTTAGCATCTTAGGTTAGCTAAGTTAGCTAGTAGCTAGATTGGTTTAACTTGTTCAACCCTGTTCCAAACGTAACAGCCCCACTCTCAGCTCCACCTCTTTTCCCATTTTTGGATTGTCTGGGCGTGACTCGGTCAAAAAAAATCAGTGGTGGGAACCTCCAGTTGTTGGCTTCAACTTCTCCCCCAGCGGAGTAATGAACGGGCCATGTCCATATTTTATAAGTCGATGGTCTTTTAGCAAACTCCTTGCAGGCTTTCATGTGTTTTGTATTGAGGAGAGGCTTCCGACGGGCCACTCTGCCATCAAGCCCTGACTGGTGGAGGACTGCATCTCTGGATCTCAGCCACAGTGATCTTTGGGTTCTTCTTTACCTCTCTCACCAAGGCTCAGTTTGGCCAGACGTCCTTTTCTAGCCAGGGTTCTGGTCGTCCCAAATGGTAAATGGCCTTTGATATAGCACCGTCTAGAGTCCTGGAACCCCCCAGGGCGCTTTACAACATGCATGTGTGTGTTCTGTCTTCTCCATCCCCAGTGAGTCGTGGAGGATGGCTGCTTATACTGAACCAGGATTCTCTGGAGGTTTCTTCCTGTTAAAACGGACTTTTCCTCTCCACTGTCGCTGCATGCTTACTTAGTATGAGGATTGAAAGAGTAACTGAAGGCAGCTCTATGATGAGTTCTGACACTAGTCAGTAACTCGATGCGACCTGCTGGGTTCCTTAGATAGGAAACTTTTCACTGATTGGCTTAATGAACTGATCTGTAGTGGAGTGTTTACTGTGTGAATGTCCTTGAGACGACATCATGATTTGGCGCTTTATAAATAAACTTGAATTGAACAACACAGTCATTTACCCATTCATACACACATTCATACGCTGGTGGTGATGAGCTACGATGTAGCCACAGCTGCCCTGAGGAACACTGAAAGAAGCGAGGCTGCTGAACACTGGCACCACCGTTGCCTCCGACCACCACCAGCAGGCAAGGGGGGTTAAGTGTCTTGCCCAAGGACACAACAGCAGCATTCTCTGGTCGGAGCCAGGATGGATCCTGCAACCTTCCGATTACTGGACAACCCGCTCTACCTCCTGAGCTGCTGCGGTCCCAAGGTCTTATATAGACAGGTGTGTGGCTTCCCTGATCAAGCCCAATAAGTGTTATCTAACACAGCTGGGCTCCACTGAAGGTGTAGGGCCATCTCAAGGATGATCCGCAGAAATGGAAAGCGCCTGAGGTAAATATGAGTCACAACAGCAAAGGGTCTGAATACTTAGGACCATGTGATATTTCAGTTTGTTTTTTTAAAGAATCTGCAGAAATCTCTGTTTTTCTGTCAGTAAGGGTTTCTGAGTGTACATTAATGAGGAAATAATTTTTATTGATTTTAGCAAACAGCTGCAATATAAACAAGAGTGAAAATGTGGGAATTTGAATACTTTCGCTGTTAGTCTAAAAACATCTGTTTACAGTAGAAAGAGTAACTGAAGGCAGCTCTATGATGAGTTCTGATCCACTTTAACATGAACGATGAGTAAAACACACAAACGACAAGAGGAGGAGACCCGATCAGCCCCTTTATTTAATCTGACCTCGGATTCCTGTAGAAGTGAAGGATTATGTCTCAAATTATTAGGAGTAAAAGTGAAACTAACTCAGAGATTTAAAACATGATCCTCACCACATTCTCATTAGTTTAACCTGAGTGTCTCCTTCAGCCCCCAGCTACAGATGACATTAATTCCTTTTTCCAGCCCAGTGACGACCTGGAGCGCATGAACACTATTTATCTGAACTGAGGCTGTTCAGGAAGCAATCTCATAGAAGTGTTTGTTTAAAACTGTTACAGAGGGAAAATAAAAAAATGCATCAATAACTATTTTGTCACCTGACTTTTTAGAAAGATAAAAAAAATTACTTTTCATGCAAGTAGAGATTTTTTTTCTAGCGATTCTTCATCGATTTACAGGATGCAGAAGTTTTTCCTGGATTTATGTTTATTTATTTAGCAGACGCTTTTATCCAAAGCAACGTACAGTTTATAACCTATAGGGCATGTTGTGATCCGTGGGGGAAACCGGAGTACCCGGAGGAAACCCACGCATGCATGGGGAGAACACGCAACTCCACTCAGAAAGGCCGCAGCAGAGTTTCGAACCTGCAACCTTCGTGCTGCGAGGCAACAGTGCTAACCACTGCGCCACCATGCAGCCCCAGGATTTACTCGTTTACAAAGTGTGTCCACCCCCCCACCCCCATGCTGTAAACGAAAGCAGATGTCAGAGGAAGGATTAGGCCTGCTGTTACGTAACAGAGGTGCAGCGGTGTGGTGCCCGGTGTCGACCTTCTAACCGTTAAAAGAGTTGTCATGCTGCAGCCTGACCAGCCAGTGCCTTGCATCAGAGAACGAGTCTGGCAGGCCAGGCTATCAAAGCTGGAGGGCTTTGAGAAAATTCAAGAAATGCGTCATCTGAACCGGAATCACTGAACAAAAACCACCTGATGAAGATAATTAACGGTAGAGGAGACAAACAGGCTGTGATGCAGAAAGGGAGCATTTCATCCTGGTGTGTCAGATGTAGATCTGACCAGGAGACCTTCAGATAACACAGAGGAGCACACACGGACAAGAGGAAGGAAAGCAAAGGACAGGCAGACCAACAGACACGGAGGAGGCTTGGTGTTTATGATCCCCAGCTCCCACCTAGAGCCTTTTAGACACACACACACACACACACACTCACAAACACGCATGCATGATGAAGCACACACACACACACACTCACACACACGTGCACGCGAATGGTGCAGACCACACACTGCTGAGTAGATCTGTTTAAAGGCCAGGAGCTCTGTTTATCATTCCCTACATCCTGCTTGCAGAAATATTTGTGAGCAGGGTTGTTTTCTGTGTGCGTGCGTGCGTGCGTGCGTGCGTGTGTGTGTGCGTGCGTGTGTGTGTGTGTGTGTGTGTGTGTGTGTGTTATGAATCACAAGCATGGTGGTGAATTTACCGACACTGATCTGTCGTCATCCCAAGATACAAGACGTTTCTGCCTGAGGTAGGATCTCTTCCTTGAACTGGAGTTGTTAACCTACCCTTCCCCACTGACGAACAGCATCCTCAGATCTGGAGGTGCTGATCCGCAGCCCAGCTGCTGCAAACCTGTCCAGCAATGGTTGAAGGTCATTGTCTGACCAGTGACAAAGGGAAGCCCTGACAGAGTCCATCTCTCGAGGAAACAGGTCTGACTTGGTGTCAGCTACATGGACCAGACTCTCCTTGTGCAGGGCCACAATGGCCCTTGGCAGAGGGTCATCCACCCCATACTCCTTGTGTCGACTACAGGGTGTCCCTGACTAGTGTCAGTGACTTTACAGCAATCCTCATACTAAGCAAGCATTTAGAGACAGTGGAGAGGAAAACTCCCTTTTAACAGGAAGAAACCTCCAGAGGATCCTGGCTCAGTATAAGCAGCCATCCTCCAGACTCACTGGGGAAAGTCGTCCACATTCATGTTGACTGGTTGGGTTTACTCCTAAGCCTACTCCAACACCCTGGACTAGGTTGTGCTGCTCTGAAATCTAACCAGTAGCTACCTAGGTGCTAACTGCTCATGTGAGGTTTGGTTTGAATAGCAGGCGGTTACTTTTTGAGTCAATCCTGTCTCTGTGTTTGTAAAATGACTCGTGAACATCTGAAGCAATTCTTTGATAATCAAAGCTGCTATGGCAAATCTGCAAAACAAGCTAGCTTTAAGCACAAACACATTCACAGAACTCTCACCCGTCTGCCATAATCCCTAAGCCCCCCCCCCCCCCCCCCCCCCCATATGGGAACGCCCATTACCAGAGGAAACATGATAGCACTAAGTCTCCATTTTCTAGGTCCAGATGTCTCTTGTTGTCCGTGACTTCGTGGTGTTTTTCTCTTTGGGACTCTGGTAGTTTGTCCTAAAGCTGAAGTGGTAGCAGCCGTCTGTTTCTCCTTCTCTGGTATTATTGAGCGGAGAGCCTCTCACACCAGTGGTGTCATGTTGCTAAATACGCGAGTGCATTGCGAACAGAGGACCCTGGGAAGAGCTGCGTTTCGGCAAGACTGACGACTAGATGGTCCAGTCATTGGTTTCAGACCGTGTTATTGGCTGAGGTGTCTGCACAAATGCAAAAGAACCACTTAATTGTTTTTCAGATTTTTCTTTATCTCCACAAAATATTCATAGCAGTCCTATGTCATCAGAAGGTATGTTTTAAACCAGCTTGTTGCCACAGCAGCTTTATTTACACACACCCCCAACAACCTAATAACCATGACTGAGTGGATTTTCCACATGCTAGCCACAAATGTAATGATGTATTAAAGATGACTCCTTAAACGCACCCTGAGTGTTTGAAAAGCTGATTAAATTGCTTCCATCAACTATTAGGATGTAACTCATTCTGATATTGAGCTAATGCCGGGTAGCAGCTGAGATCCTGTAGCGACAAATCGTTCAGACGTCTGATACTGAAGGTGAAATAGAATTTTAATGTATTTTGTGTTTTATCAGTATTTGCAGTATTTGCACCAGCTCCACCAAATAAGCTTATTTTTGAAGAGGTTAAGTTATGCAGGTTGCACAGCCCTCTCCAGCCTTTTCTCTGTTCCTCACCTCTTTATGTGTGTTTTCTGCTTCTCTTGGCCCCTTCTGTTTCCCTGCTTCAGTGCTACAGTTAAGACTTCAGCAGAGGGGGACACGAGAGCAGCGGGCAGATCAAGGCACCATGCCTCGTGAGTAACACTGTCTGACACTGAGCTGCCACATAAACACACTGCAGTGGGTCACCCTCAGAGAACCAGCAGATGTTGCCTCAATAAGATATGCAGTTATATTGACTCTCTCTCACACACACACACACACACACACACACAGCATGACTCTGCCTACTGGTGCGATTGTATTTGTCAGGTCATTTATTCAGTAAAGATTACTACCAACTAGCGATGGGTACCGAATTCGGTACTTTTTAAGGTACTGACCGAATTCCACAGTACCGACCGAGCACCAATTCACGTCATTTCAAACGGTGCCTCGTTTCGGTACCCGTCCTTCACAACGAGAACTTGCCTAGACAGCTGCGCATGCGCAAGAGCGTTATGTCGTCGGTCGCTGCGAGCCAGTTGTAAACAGAGCAGCATGGTAGAAAGAACGCACGCTAAAGCTTGGGTCCACTTCACTAAATGTGATGGGTAACTGGGTGATGATGAAACCAGCGACAACGATCTAAGTGAGACATCCTCATCTTAATCTGCTCCGGTAGGTAAATATAATGTTTAAGATAACGTTAGCTTGATATGTTAGCTTCCGTTTCGCTAATGGTGTGTTCGTTTTCTCCTCGGAACTCCGAATTTCCGACTAGAAGAACATGAACGCACTGTAAAGTTTGGCTTCACTTTACTAAATGCGACGGGTGATTGGGTGAAGATGAAACCAGCGACAACGATCTAAGTGTGCGGCATCGTCGTTTTAATCTGCTCCAGCAGTTAAATAAACTGTTTAAGATAACGTTAGCTTGATATGTTAGCTTCCATTGCCACCATTGTTATCAGCTAATGGTGCGTTCGCTTTCTCCTCGGAAATTCTAACTTCCCAGTAGGAAAAATCAAATTAAAAAGGACGGCAAAAGGAATAAAGATACACAGTAAATTTAGTTCACAGTAAAGATGTTTGCTTCAGTTTAATTATCAGCTTATAAAACTACAAGGACCATGTTAAAATACAAACAGTTGTATGTTATTTATCGTGATATTTATCAAATATGGTTATATATTGAGAAAAATATATATTTTATTACAAAAGAGAATTAAAATATTAAACACTCAAAAGTATCTAAAATTGGTACCGTTAAGTACCGGTATTGATTCCTAGGTACCGGGAATTAGTACCGGATCGATTCAAATGTCAAAGGTACCCATCCCTACTACCAACGATGACGTATTTTGCGTGGAATCACGTTTGCCGTGTGTTTGCGGCTCATGGTGAATTGTGGGTGTGTCTTGATGGAAGGCTGTGCTCATAATCCAAGGAGCAAACCGCAGCTCAGAGGGAAAATCACGCAGCCACATCCACTTAAGTTTGTCAATCAGGGAACACCTGGTTAATTCCTGTCACGTCATCGTATACGACAGTGATCTCATTGGCTGAAAACACCAAACCATATATGTTAACAAAAAAAGTAACTACAAAGGACGTATATACATATATATAATATCCGGTACATTTCCCACCTCTCTCTCAAGCATGCTCAGGTTAAACCGCTGCTAAAAAAAAACCATCTCTCTTCCTCCACATCATGTGGAGAACTGCCGACCTATCTCTCTCCTCCCTTTTCTGTCCAAAATCATTGAAAGGGTGGCTTTCAGGCAGATCACAGAATACCTCTCACAAAACTGTCTGCTTGACCCTTACCAATCTGGGTTCAAAAAGGGCCACTCCACTGAAACTGCTCTGTTAGCAGTGACAGAATCTTTAAAAGAAGCTAGAGCGACTGCCAAATCCTCAGTGCTTATCCTGCTCGACTTATCGGCAGCATTTGACACTGTCAACCATGGCTTCCTTTTGTCCACACTCTCTAGCATGGGCGTCACAGAGAAAGCACACGCCTGGTTTGAATCATACCTCACAGGACGATCATTCAGTGTATCTTGGCTTGGACAATCCTCTACCGTGCACCATCTTGCCACGGGAGTCCCCCAGGGCTCTGCACTAGGACCTCTTCTCTTTGCCATTCACACCACCTCACTGGGTGAGATCATTCTGCTATGAATGACAACACCCAGCTCTATCTGTCATTTCCACCGGACGACCACACTGTCTCTGCACGAATATCAAACTGTCTCTCTGACATATCAAAATGGATGAAATCCCACCATTTCCAACTCAACCTCTCTAAAACTAATCTACTTGTCATCCCAGCAAAACCATCCATACAGCACAATATCTCAATCCAAAATGACTTCCTATCTCTGGCTCCTTCAAAGGCAGTTCGAAATCTGGGTGTTGTGATTGATGAACACCTGACCTTTAAAGATCATGTTGCCTCTGTTGCTCGTTCATGCCACTTTGCGCTGTATAACATACGAAAGATCAGACCATACCTAACACAACATGCCACCCAGCTCCTGGTGCAATCTACTGTCATCTCCCGCCTCCATTACTGCAATGCCCTTCTAACTGGTCTTCCAGGCTGTACTATGAGACCTCTTCAAATGGTCCAGAACGCAGCGGCGCGTCTGGTCTTCAATCAGCCAAAAAGAGCACACGTCACCCCTCTGTTCATTGAGCTCCACTGGCTACCGCTAGCAGCATGTATCAAATTCAAATTGCTAACACTAGCATACAAAGTCCGAGATGGTACGGCTCCCATCTACCTGAATCCTCTTGCAAAGGCTTACGTCTCGGCCCGGCCGCTCCAGTCATCACAGGATCGTCGGCTAGCAGTGCCTACACCACGCTCAGGACAATCCAGGCTCTTCTCATGCATCATTCCACAAATGTGGAATGACCTTCCAAGCACTACCAGAACCCTAACCCAAGACCCTGCTCTTCAGAGAACATCTTCTAAACTAGCCCCCCCCCCCCCCCCCCCCCTTCTCCCATCCCCCCTCTCTGCTGTCCACTCCTTGTTCCCTATTCTCCATGAATGATGTCAAGTTGTTATTGTTGTTGTTGTTGTTATTATTGCTGTTAGCCTCAAGGGCAACGTGCCGATAATCACTTGTAAGTCGTTTTGGACAAAAGCGTCTGCTAAATACATAAACATAAACATAATATATACACACAAAGGGAACAAGTGAGAATACAAACACAATGAGATATAAACAAATAACAATAAATCATAACAATCCTTAATAGATCTCAGCAGATCTCAAATCTCAGTTCACAACATAGATACTGGACAACTCGTGTTCATAGGCCCGAATAATACGTTTTTATGCCAAAATGGTAGGTTCTCACAACCGTCATTTTGACCGTGTCACAGGTCCCGTCACGCCCAGACAATCCAAAACTGGTAAAAGAGGTGGAGCTAAGGGTTGGGCTGTTACGTGTGGAACAAATGAAACAGTGTAGCTACTAGCTAACTTGGCTAACGAAAGAAGCTAAGAAGGGCTCCTTGGACTGGGGTATCCCACTCGCACGGCAGACTGGCTCCTGTGCGAGGCTGTAGTCATGCTGGTTACCCGTGGGGATCTAATATGGACTGGGACTGTTAAATTACAAGCGGAGCCTCAGATCGCTGCAATCAGAACTGGGCGCCATGACCTTTTACATCAGCTCTTGCTCCACGGTTGGGACACTAGCTACATGCTAACCCAAAGCTAACAGAGTTTTTCCGGCCGTTTTCAGCAAGAAAAATGCGGTAGAGCTCCTCCAAAGTAACGGCACCTCCGGCCTGCTTCGTAACAAAATTAAAAAGCTGACCGAGGATATCGGGCTTCGCTGGTCCACCGCTGTGAAAGATCCCTACGTCTGCCGTTGTTGATGTTCCCTTCTCCGGGAGCCGGAGATCAGTGGGACATTAGCTACATGCTAACAGAGTTTTTCCGGGTGTTTTCAGTGAGAAAAATGAGTCTCAAAAGTGAAACAGCGTCAACAAAAAGAGTGTTTCTGTTGTTTCCCTCAGAGATCCAGCATGACTACAGTCCCGCTTCGTAGCGGGCCCGGCTGTCCTGGGAAACGGGAACAGGCAGCCGCCTGCTCTAACTGTTCCTGGGCAGGAGACAGGGAAAGCGGGCACTCGCTCAAGGTTCTTATGCAGCCCTCCTAACATGTTTGACCAAGCAGTTAAATGACCCAGCATTTTCCCCAGTCAACCAGTGAAATGAAGCACAGAAATATAATTTTACTTACTGATAAAAAGAAGCAGAAACTGCTTGGGTGATCTGTTAGTAACCACAGCTCGCCCTTTTGTCCAAATAATTCCATGATTAACTTCCAAACACGAACAAATAGACACAACTAAAGTTCAGAGAGTCTAAATGGCCAAACATCCATTAATGTGAGGCTGAGGCCTTTCTCCGGAGCTAGCTCTGAAGTCACATGGCTCTGATTGTCATTAATTATTCAGATTTTTAAGCATTAAAGTTCACTTAAACAGAAGAGTAACAAAGAAAAGTCACCCCCTTAGAGTTGTCATGAACATAAACTAGATCTATTAAACCTAGAATGGTTTTTTGAACCAGGCTGTAAACATGATGATTTCTGCTGATTAGCATTTTTAACATGGGAGTCAATGAGGAATTGCTCACTTCTGCTGTCAGCCCCTAGTGGATGAAGGTGGAACTGCAGTTTTGCCGATTCCTTGTTGGCTTCATATTTGCTGCAGAATTATGGGAGCTTGCTCCTACTCCATTAAAACACCCAAATAAAAGCATTTGATCCTGGCTTGGTTGACTCCAAAATGTTCTCGTACTCCTGATCTGATTTCATGGTGGGCCCTACTGGCTTGGATTGTTTTACTCAGACTTTAGTTGAACATGTTGTATGTCATCCAAAGAAGATGGTGACCCTGATGTAACACCAGCAGACCTCTAACATCAGGTTAAGCCTCAGGAGCTCCTGTCCTGTTCTACAGCAGAGTTTAGACCAACAACATGGCTGTGTCTATATAAGCCTGCACTATGACAGCTATTATAGAAAACTCCAAACAAAAACTCACCCGTAGATGTAAAAGAAAAATAAACTGCAGGTGGACGTATGCGCCATGCAGCTGGATTAGAGACAAGTGGTG